GAATAAATAGGAAGTGTAGAATTAAATTGGTTTTGAATATGAAAAAATATCAATATTTTAGAGGTAAATCATATATATGTGTGTGTGTGTTAATTTAAGTTGTCAACCGATGCACTAAAGAATCAGGTTCTTCAGTCATCTAATAAGAACTAAAGTGTAAAATGTAATCAACATAAGAAATTTTACAACTTTGAGGAACAAACATCTATTACAAAACATTTAGTCAAGTAAAATGTCACAATTCAATTTGAAATTGGTATCCTTTATTTGTTTCGACCTCCACATATTTTCTCCTAATTCCAGAACTCTTACTTTTTGTGGAAATATGATAAATCTTTCATCCTCAATTCTTATTCCTTGAACACGTGTGTATGTCATAACTCATATATAACCCAAATTCCTAAAGAAATCTTTGTTTCACTTGGAAATTATTTTGTACTCGTTGATTAACAGTTATTTTCAGTTATCTTTGAAGGACATGGTTCTTCTAGCAACTTCGTGCATAAAAATTTTGCAACCTAATTTCTTCGGTACACATGCTAATAATATGATTCTTTCGTAGTTATTTGTCAATTATAAACACTAAATTTTTATTTGAGATATGTTAAAATTTTAATTCTTATATAATATTTGTCATATTTATTCATCATTAAAATTCCGAATTCAATAGTAGTTCCACATATATAGCTCAACAAAGAATATATTATTGGTGTTAGAATTTCCAATATTCTCATTATTATTTAACTCATCATAGTATTATAATTAGTTTTTAGATGAATTATAGCTTAAAATGATCTCTATCATATAATAGTTAGACTTTAAAAAATAAAGTATACCAATACATCATCCCTTCATCATAGTATTATAATTAGTTTTTAGTTGAATTATAGCTTAAAATAATCTCCATCATATAGTAGTTAGACTTTAAAAAATAAAGTATACCAATACATCATCCCTTCCTCTCTCTTTCTCATTTCATTCTTATCCTTTCTAACTACCCTTAGTTTTACTTTTAATTCCTTGTTGACACGATCTATTGATATAATTAAGACAACTAGCTAGTAAAATACCATTTTATCTTAGTTAATTAATCTTTACCTTCTTGCTTAAGAGTTAAGATAACTCCACGTTGTTTTGAATAAGAAATTACAGTTTTCATGATACATTCTGCAATCATCATCATCCTTTTGTTAGCATTATCATCATTTGAAGGGATAATATATAAACGTTCCTTTTAACTTGATTTTTGAAATTTTGTCCTCTAATAATTGATTGTGCACAAACAAATAGGGTTGTTCAGAACCTAATTGTAATCGATAAGCCAACTACAATGTTGATTTATTGGTATTGAATTATCGAATTAATAATCATTGAACAAATTAAATTTTATAGTTAATGGTTTATCGATACGGGGACAAATTCCTTAGTTTTCTTATTGGATAAATCGTACCTATTAAAAACTATCATACATTTTTGTACTATAAGTATATTTGTTAAATGAATGCTTATGTGCATGCATCCTCAAAATTTAAACTTTTTTATATATTTCACAATATGATTTACAACTACATAATTACCGGCTTAAGTAGAGCTAAAGAAAATTGTTTTGTTTAATTGAAGATCAATATATTGGTGAGTGAAAATGAAGGAAGAGAGCATGAAATGATTGAGTCAATACACCGCTCGATGACCATCTGTTAAATACTACTCCCTCCGTTTCAAAAAGAATGACCTCATTTCATTTTTAGTCTATTTCAAAAAGAATGACCCCTTTTCTTTTTTGGCAAAACTTTAACTTAAACTTTCCACATGACATGTTTAAGGCCACAAGATTAAAGGGCATTTTGATACATTTGACATACTTTAATTTTGAACTACAAATTTTAAAAGTCTTCTTTCTTTTCTTAAACTCCGTTCCAAGTCAAACTAGGACATTCTTTATGAAACGGATGGAGTATTCTATATCGAACCAACTGATAGCTTATTGATTGTCTAGTAGATTAGTATATTTAAAAATTGATACGTGATGAATCATGTCGTTAAGCATAATTATCCGCTAGCTCACCTACAAGTAAACACTTAAATTTGTATAAAATTAAATAAATAGACACTCCTATCTTACATGGCATAATAAATTATAACTGTATTTTATATACAAAATATTCTTAAATCTTGTAGTCTTAAACATGACATATGGAAAGTTTAGCATTATTTGAAACTATATTTTCTGAAACTTTCTATCATTTGAAAAAATTACAAAGATCTCTATTCTCTCCTATTCTCGAATACATCACTTTACGCGATGTATTGGTTGGATACGTCACTTTACGCGATGTTTTGGGACGTTGAGTAATGTATGTATTAGTCGGATACATCACTTTTGACGCGATGTATCAGGACGTTGAGTGATGTATCTGAAACCAAGACGCGATGTATCGCGACGTTGAGTGATGTATCCAAAATCGAGAAGCGATGTATCGTGACGTAGAACGATGTATCCGAAACCGGGACATTATGTATCGGGATGTATCCGAATTTCACTATTTTTTTGGAATTTGGAAAAGAATAGGGATATGATGTAATTAGTTTTTAACACTATGAAATTTGTATGAAATTTCCATAATAAATATCAACTGGGACGGAGAAAGTATAAGTTGCAATCATTCTCATATTAATATATACGAAAAAGGGTCAAAATTGCTGAAACGACCCCAAAAATGCCCGAAAATGTGCTTCGGAAACACCTATAATTGTAATTTCCATATATCTCAAAATCCGTGTATGATTTCGGAAATTTGACTTCATATTCTTATTCAGGGGGTCAAATTGAGTGGAAAATGGGTCTAACCCGAATTTTAGAGCAACCGTATCAAAATTCGAAAATCGCAAAAAATGCAATTTGGAGGGTCAACTTTAAATGGGCATATCTCTTAGCACACAAGGAACTGGAAGGGCCACATACTATTAAATTAAATCCCTTTGAGTTATCTTTCCAACGCACCTGGTTTCACCTTATTCCGAGTTAGGATGAGGGATTTATGACCATTTTCGTAAAACCTGTCTGTGCAGATTGACAATTTCCAGTAAGCTGTTTTTTTTTAAAGCCTCATTTTTTAGGCTAAGTGTTGGGGCGTTTTTTTTTTATAAAAAGGGGATATGTCCCATACTTAGTCATATTTTTTTCTAACTTCAAAACACTCAAAAAAACACTCTCTAAGCCCTCTCCAAAATTCCACCAAGATCTTCAACCAAATTCAAAGATCTCAAGCTCTAATTCCGGATTCAAGACTCAATCTCAAGCTTCAATTCTCCATTCCAATCTTCATCAAGGATTCTCCAAAGTTAAAAATGTGGGTTTGATTGTGGAAACCTTCCTTTCCACAAGTCCAACCATTTATCCTCTATTTTTACTTCAAGTTTATGGGTCCTTATGGTTATTTATGAACTCTTGAAATATGGAATTACTACTACACAACCCATTATGGTCTATTTTGCATATTATCATGAAATGGAATTATTATGTGATGTTTATGGTTTTCATGTTTCCATGATCAAATTATGAAGGTTGATATATATATATGTATGTTGTTGGTGGGCTGATTTATATGGATTTTGGAATTGGTTGGACTTAGTACTCTTGAAATGCATGATTTTATTTACATGAACAATAGCCCACCATGTGTTTGATAAAATGCCCACTTAGAGAATTCTTAGGAAATGGAAAGTCCAATGTACGTCCTATAAGTCGGATGGTCATATAATCATTGAAATGATGATGAAATGGATACATGTATATGATTTTCTCTATATAAGTGTTGTGAGTCGACCAAGCCTAGCTCGGGGGGTTGTAGGCCCGGGTAACCGTATCGAAGGGTTGGTACCTTGGTTGCCTAGTACGGGGGGTAGTAGGCCCGTATAACCATATCGAGGGGTTTGTACCGTGGTCCCTAGCTCGGGGGGTTGACCATCCTACTCCGCGTGGCTAATACGATTTTCTATCGAGGTTAGTGGTGAGTCCTCCATTCCGGGGACGTTGCTTATGTATCTTTTGCTATGTATAGACTTTCCTTTTTGTTATGTATTGACTATGAGGGTGAGCCCGGTAGTTTTGTCTTGGCCCCCGCTTAGTACTCATGTTTAAAGGTGGTGTTTGGACAAGTTGTGTATTATACTTGAGCTTGACTCATCTATGGTATTTATGTATCATCCTTTTTTTTGTTTCTCTTGCTCCCTTAGTCCCGATTTCCCCCTTGATTATGCTTATCGCTTATGGTCATTTTAATTGCTTCTGCGACCAAGAATGTGTAATGATACGCTATGAGGCTTGTTTGGGTTCCTTCGGGTTCCCCATTCGCCGGTCACGTCTAGGCCCTAGGCTTGAGTCATGACAATTGCCCCTGAACTATGCGAAATAGACCACTTATACCCTCCATTACATTTTGGGATCAAAAATACCCCCGCAGTTATCCCAGGAGACCATAAATACCCTCAAGAGTTAACACCCCATTTTTTTAGTGATGTGGCAAGCCACATGGGACTAATGACTAATCCCTCCACCTAAGCATTTCCAACTAAGATTCACTACAAAAGAACTTGACTTTTAGTGGCGACGAAGTCGCCACAAAATCCCGAAAAATTGCCACTAAAGGTTATGAGTGATTTTTAGTGGCGACTAAGGCTCCAACAACCATTCGCTAGTAAAACCTATTTTTTCAACAAAAAAATATGATAATTAATTTTCGATTGCAACCTAATTTTCTAAAATAAATAACTTGCAATATC